CCTATCTCTAGTAGTCTCAGTTCTGTTCTCTCCTTTTGAAAGGTTAACAAATTATTGTGATGTATGTTTCTTTTTTTATTTCTTAGCTCCCACTTATGAGTGAGGACATGTGGTATTTTTCTTTCTGTGCCTGGCTTATTTCACTAAACATAATTTTCTCTAAGTTCATCCATGTTGCTGCAAATGGCAGAGTTTCATTATTTTTTTATGGTTGAGTAGTATGCCACTGTGTATATATACCACTTTTTCCTTATCCAGTTGTCTGTTAATGGAAATTTAGGTTAGCTCCATATCTTGACTGTTGGAAATACAGCAGTGATAAACATGGGAGTGCAGGTATCCCTTTGACATGATGATTTACATTCCTCTGGGTATATATCCAGTAGAGGGATTGCTGGATCATATGGCAGTTCTATCTGTAGTTGCTTGAGGAACCTCCATACTGTTTTCCAGAATGGCTGCACTAATTTACAGTCCCACCAACAGTGCAGGAGGGTTCCCCTTTCTCCACACCTTCACCAGAATTTGTTATTCTCTGTCTTTTTGATAATGTCCAGTCTAACTGGGGTGAGATGATATCTCAATGGTTTTGATTTGTGTTTCCCTGATGCTAAATGATATTGAGCCTTTTTTCATGTGTCTGTTGGCCATTCGTGTATCTTCCTTTGAGAAATGCCTATTCAGCTCCTTTGCTGATTTTTTAGTCAGTTTACTGGTTTTTTTTACTGTTAAGTTGTTTGGGTTCCTTGCACATTCTGGATATTAATCCCTTGTTCGATGCATAGTTTGCAAATATTTTCTCCTATTCTGTAGATTGTCTTTTCTCTCTGTTAATTGTTTCTTTTGCAGTGCAGAAGCTTTTTAGTTTGATATAATCCCATTTTTTTATTTTGTTGTTGTTGTTGCCTATGCTTTTGGGGTCTTATTCATAAAGTCTTTGCCAAATCCTGCTTCCTGAAGTGTTTTCCCTGTGTTTTCTTTCAGGAGTTTTATAGTTTCAAGTCTTGTAAGTAAGTCTTTAATCCATTTTGAGTTGACATACCAGTGACATTTGTCACAGAAATAGAAAAAACAATGCTAACATTCACATAGAATGACAAAAGACACCAAATAGCAAAAGCAATCCTGAGCACTATCTGACTTTCAAACTATATTATAAAGCCATCGTAACCAAAATATCATGGTACTGGCATAAAAACAGACACTCGGACCAATGGGACAGAATAGAGAACAAGGAGATCAACCCACATATTTACAGCCAACTGATTTTTTTTTTTTTTTAAAGATGATCGGTAAGGGGATCTCAACCCTTGGCTTGGG